TATCTGGAGTTCTAGAAGTCCAAATGAGCTGAATGGTTTACACAAGAAAGCTGAGACAATTGCCTACAACTTTCATGTTTGCAACTGGCTCCAATTTTGACGTTATCAATGACGTTTTGGGCAGACAAGAGAAGATAAGGATTGTCACCAAGTCAAGAGTTGGCCACCCACTTATCAATTAGTCATCAAATCAATAGTTCCTAATTTTGGCCTATAAAAGGAGGCATTTGCCATGCATTTAGGCATCTTGGTTTCCAGATCAAGATCATGCTCTTCCTTTCTCTCTTTGTATTTTTTATGCTTTGTTTTCATTAATATTAAGTTTATGACTTTCATTTCCTTTCCTTTACTTAGTTAACTTTTATGTTCTTATTTTGTTTATCTATTTTGCTTTCTTTCATTATATCTAGCTAAGTTAGTTATGTCAAGGTGAAAAGGTTACACTAATGGTGTAAGAATAAGTATAATGTAAACTTAATATGGACTTTAATGTTTGATACTAACATGGTTTATATTTGTTATCTTGTTCACTCTTTAATACTTTGCTTGTTAAATGACTAATCTTGATTTATGTTATATAACACTTGGTACAACAAATGCTTGGCACTTTCATAGCCCATAATGTATGGTATAACCGACACCTGAGCTATGAAAGGAACTTGATTTGTTGTTAACATAAGTTATAATCATGAATGCTTGACAAGATTTACAAGTATTAGCATTAATTAAATAAGATGACTAATGTAATCATGTTAACAATATATAATCTGATTGGAACCTCCTTTGTGTGTGGTTTCCAATTCAATAATAAGATTTTATACTATACTTGTTTGATATCCCATTAGTGGAACCTCTAACCTTGACATTTGTTATTATTATTGTTTAATCCTTACATTAATATTCCATCTCCAAGTTCTCATCATCATCTTCTCTTCTTCTTCTCTTTCTTTATTATTATTATTATTATTATTATTATTATTATTATTACTACTACTACTATTAATACTATTATTATTATTATTATTATTATTATTATTATTATTATTATTACTACTACTGTTGTTGTTATTGTTGTTTTATAATTGTTGTTTATAATTTGTACAATTAACCTCCCTATGGTTCGACCCCGGTCTTGCCGGGTTATTTATTACTTCGACACTCCTGCACTTGGGAGAAGACATCAATCTTTTAGTCGTGTCAAGTTCCTTTTAGTCGTGTCAATATGTGTGAAGAAGTTGGATCATGCCCGGTTTCAAATTAAAATCTTGTTGGTTAAGAGGCAAGATAATACATAAAGGTGTACTTTATCTAGCTAGGTGAAGATACTCTCTAAGAGTTTGAAAAATAGGTTAATCATTAAATTATAGAGGTCCATTACCTTGAACACTCCCTTCACCCTCTACATCTTCAACATTAGCCATGATGAAAAAAATAATATAACAATTATATGAATATGAAAAGAAAGGAAAAAGAAAAAGAAAAAAAAGATTGCAAATAAAAGTAAATGAAACATAAAAGATAAAGTAATAGCTTAAAAATAAAAATACAACAAATTATAAAATTCACACTCCAACTAATAAGCAATATTAACAATAATAAACATTAAAAGATAATTATTACAAGCATGAATAAAGAGGCGATAATATCAGCCAAGTACTTAAAACAATAAATATAAGGAAAATATCACAACAAAACAACAAAAAATAAAATAAACAAGAGGCGGTAATACCAGCCAAGTACTTAAAAAAACAAAATCACAACAATACAATAAGATAAAATAAAATAAACAAGAGGCGGTAAAACCATCCTTGTAATATAAACAATAAATATTATAAACTAATTATACTAAACATCAAAAGAAAAATGGTTGACCTAACCAAAATCCAACAATTAATAGTCCATTCCACAGTCCAATATCTGAAAAGTTGAGGTCAATTTTTTTAGGCGGTAAAACCAGCCAATTGATTTTTTTATATGATTTTTTTTTTTTTTCCAATAATCAAATCTAAATTTGTTATCTTTGCTTGCTAGCTCCCCGGCAACAGCGTCAAAATTGCTTGATCGCTTTTTATGATCGGCTTGTTTTAACTCGCAAGTGCACGAGTGTGCGATGTAGCAATTAACTCGATAAGATCGAGGTCATCTCCACAGAGAGCTAGATTTGGAAATTAAGCTAGATAACAAAAAAACTCAAGAGAAATTAAATTAACAATAACTTGGTTGAAAATAATTGATGGATTTGTTTTCAAAGATGAAAACGTGTAAATAGATTTTAAATGACAAGAAAAAGTAAGTCTTAGTCCAAATCAATTTTAATGGTGATGTATTGGTGATTCCTTCAAGATATATAAGATAACTCAACATAGTATCAATGATGGTGATATTAGATCGAAAGATATTACAATAAAATTTTAAAAAGATGAAGATTAATTATTGCTTAAAAATGAACAAGTACTTTCATATTAAGTAAAACATTGAATCAAATAATCTCTATACCAAAACTAAAGTTTGTGCATAAAAATTCAAGATTATAACATTATCTAAATTATTTCTAAAATTTCCTTAAAATAATAAAACATTCATGAAGAAAATGAGAAGATAACTATTAAAATTCATTCATATCTTAAAGAACTCACCTCAACTACCATCATCCTTCAAGATATATAAGATAACTCAACCCAATATCAATGATGGTAATATTAGATTGAAAGATATTACAATAAAGTTTAAAAAGATGAAGATTGATTATTGCTTAAAAATGAACAAGTACTTTCATATTAAATAAGACATTGAATTAAATAATCTCTATACCAAAACTAAAGTTTGTGCATAAAAATTCAAGATTATAATATTATCTAAATGATTTCTAAAATTTCCTTGCAATAATAAAACATTTATGAAGAAAATGATAAGATAGTGTGAAAGTTCAATTAAGAGAGTTGTTGGTTGTCTAATGATGGGGGTTGACTAGAAGTGTAGGTTGTTGGTTTTGGTAATGACCACTGTGGACGGTGACAATGAGGATAAAGTATAACTTAGAAAAGGATAGGAGGAGTTTGCTTTAGTTGATGTAGATGGTTTTTTTGTGTGTGCTAGTCTATGTGGAGAAAAAAAAGGTCAAGTGGTTTTGGATTATGTTGGGCGGCAACTCTGGTTAGGTTTATTGAGTTTAGGGTTCTTGTGTTATATAGGTGTGGAGGATTTTGCAAACTCGGTCACTTTTCTTTTTGTTTGAAAATCTTTCTTACTTTAAAATCAAATCGTAAATCTTAGAAATCATGTCTATTCAATCTAATTGTTAAAATGAAATAAGAGAGAAGTTAGTTTTTGAAAGTATTTTAAAAATCAAGCTTATTTGGTTAAATACACAACACACACTATTTAATACATACAATCCTTTGATTGTCTTGTATTTTAAAAACAGAGATTAACCTATTATAAGATTAAAATAGTTTTTGTAAAGCCACGACCTTTATAGAAAAGCTGTTCAAGTTTTGAGAGCATCATTATTGATTTAAATGATGTACTTGATTAAAAAAAGACTTTTCAAGCATGTAATGCATGTTATGATTCATGACTACAAAAGAAAAGGAAATTCATAGGCTCAAAAGGTGTTTGAGGGTTTTAAAGACCTAGAATCACCATTAACTATTCATTAACTCTCTTTCTCTTGCTGTCTTTATAGAAGAAATGACATATGATCATGCCATATATTTCATTAATTAATCTTGTTTCTTAAAACTGAATAAGAAACTCCATCATAATCAAACAATAATAGATAATTGTACCTCACTTAGAGAAGAAGAGGAGGGGTTTGCTTTGGTTAAAGTAGATGGTCTTTTTTTGTATGCTAGCCTGCGTGGGGAGAAAGACAAGTCAGGTGCTTTTGGATTTTGTTGGGCTGTGGCTCTACTGAGGTTTATTAGGTTTAGGGTTTTTATATTGTATGGGTGTAGAGAGAGTATGTGTAAATACTTTTTTTCTTCTTCTAAGATTTGCCTCTTCTTTTATGTGTGGTATAACCACATATTTATAAGTAAAATTCTTTGGTTTGAAGGCAAAGCAAACCAAGATCAACCATTGGATCTCAATAATGAATCTCAACCATTCATTTGATAACATGGAGATAAAATAAAAAAATAAATCATTGGATTAAAAGAAAAATTGTATACCACTTGATTAAAAAAATGGGTTGCTTGGTGAGAGGGTTTTCAATTTTCAAATTGGTCACCTTCCTTCCAAAATTAGGTCACTAAAAATTAAAAAAAATATATATTCTTGTTTCTTTCTCTTTTTTTTTAATTTTTTTTGGAAAAGGCATAAAAAATGATGCAAATACATCAAGAACATATTTTTTAGGTTTTTATTATTTTTTTAAATTCTTCAAAAATAAGGTAAAACATTGGGTAGCAATAATATAATTGATTGTTTTCTTAATTTTATCCTTCAGTATATTTAATTTATCAAGGGTTGAGATTCATAATTTTTCTAAATGAGACTTTTTTAGTTTTGTATTTGGATTACAAGCTTGAAAAATTAACATGAATTGATATAATTATTTTTGTAATTGTTTTTATTATTAATCCTTTAAAATTATTTATTTTAAAAAATAAACTTTATGATTTTCTTCTGTTACTTTTCAAGTTATAACTATTTTATTAGATCCGATAATTTACAACTTTCCGGTCTTTGACTTTTTTTTTCTTTCTTTGAAACACAATAGCATCCAATTTATATATATTACAAAAACAAACTAGGCTGGAGGTGCCGCGCTAAACCAAATCTTTAGAAGAATGGGTCCCACTTTTGTGGCGCACGTGCTTTTTCACACAAGATTTGGTCGGCCCATAATGGTTAAGCCCTAGATAATTCCAAGTGTCCGCGCACCCATTGGTTGTTCTAGTGCACATCAAAAGGACAACCTTTTGCTTGGTTGCATCCTTTATATAGCCCCTCACCTCGCCTCTCTCCCTCTCGTCCCAAAACTAATATCCTCCCCCCCCCGCCCCCCCTCTCTCGAAACTCCTCAGAAAAAAGAGGGAAACTCTCTCAAAAAGGAACAAAAATTATAAACTGCAATGGAACACCATCTACCAGTGATAGCCAAAAGAGCATGGGGCATAGTACGTGTTATCTTCTTCATGATAAGAAAGGGTTTATCAAAGAGAAAACTCTTGGTTGATCTCAACATGATGCTTAAACGTGGTAACAAGATTGCATGCAAAGCCATAGGTAATCTCATGTTCCACCATCACCACCACAATGACCATCGCAAGGTCTCATTCACATCCGCACCATGCGAGTATGAGTTCAGCTGTAGCAACACTCCCACATACTCGCTCCCCTTCCATATCAGCAAGCGTCGTCACCACCACCATCACTACAATAACTTCTTTCCATGTGCATTCAACGCACCACCAGCTCACGATGATCATGACATGGTGACCATGAGTGCTGTGAAGCTGGCTTTGGAGATGCTGAACAACAATGAAGTGGTACTGCCTGTGGAGGCGTCCCCACTGTTGCCAGGGTTTGGAAGGAGTCCAATGGTGAGGCAGTTGAGGATAACGGACTCACCGTTTCCATTGAGAGATGTTGATGATGATAATGGTTTTGTGGACAAAAAAGCTGAAGAGTTTATCGAGAAGTTCTACAAGGAATTGAGGCAGCAAAGGAGAACGAGTGGCTAATTAAGATGCAGGAGCTATAGTCTTGTTAATTATCATCGTTGTTGTTGATATGTAGTTGATGATAGAACAATAAATGTTTGCCTCATAAATTGTTGTTGATAAATAGTTGATGATAGAACAATAAATGTTTGCCTCATAAATGTCCATTTAAGGTTGTTTTGTTTCTTGTAATGTTGTTGATGAAGAAGGTTCGTATACGGAATAAGAGCGATCGAGGTGTATATTTCAGGGAATTAAATGCTTCCTAGTTAGTATCTTCCTCTCTTTAGAGTCGTTTATCATTTATTAATGAATTTTGGCTTAAAAAAATCAGTAATTATGATGTTTCAGAAGATTGAAACAAACCTAATATTGATATGAAAAGAGCTTAAAAAAGAAGTGTTTTTTCACGAATCACAATTTTCATAGCTTTCTTCAACAGTAAGTCTTACCTTTATGGATAATATTTAATTAGGAAGAAATAATCGGAATTTCTTTTTTCTTTCCTTCCAGCCTATGGAGGCTCTCTGCGTGTATGTAAATAATGTTGGGTCTAAGCTGCTTTAACTGCCTTGCCATCAAATGCACTAACTGCCTGTCCTGATACGATTCCGCTACGTTAAAGTAACCTTACTAGCACTGTGTCGGCTCTTTATGGCCCCCGAACTTTCCCTCTCTCTCTTTTGTTACACTTTGGGGATTGAATTCAGAGTCAGATCCAAGAATTCTATTTATTACAACATTATTTGGAATAGCACTGTGAATTGTAAAGGGTGTTATTGTTGATTAATTTTGCATTTGATGATAAACACATGGGTATTTTCTAATTAGTGAAAGAAATAATTACGTCAAGTATTTTTCATCTATATTTGAATATGATTTGCGTAGCAAAACTAGAATCTTGAATGATAAAAATATTAGCGAATCGGGCAAGTACTGTTATTTTTAAAAATAATTTTACGAGATCAATAATGCATGTATTCCACATAAGTTGACATAAATTATTGACTCTTTGCGATGTACTTATCATACTTTTGAAGATCCAACCATGATAGGCCGCGTCCCAAGCTTGACATAATTTAAAATCAAGAAATGGACATCCGCTCGTCCCTTTCCTGGGGTCCAATTAATTTGAAATTATTTGCAACACTGTAATTGGCATTTGATGTACCTGCTTTGGTATTTAATTATAGAACATAAAATATAGACATATTAATTAACCATTGCGGCAGAAATTGGTTAAATCATCAAGAAATAGACATATCTTCTCAAACTGTTGACTGCTTCCCTCACAAAATTTGGGTTCTTCATCACTTATTTTTTAAATAACTATTACAACCTTCCTTAAAGTCTCATAATATAATATATTATCAGAAAATTTTTTAATACCAACAAAATTACCATTAAAAAGCTTTCGATCAATAATTTCCAATGATTATAGTGAGAAAATATTTTGGTTGGAAATTATTAATTAATGTAAATGAAGTTACTAATATCATAATCAAATATGTAAAAAATATTTTACTTGAAAGGAGTAAGTTGAAAAAAGCTTTGATACTGCAAAATTTATAATATAACTCCTTGATGTAAGATACCAGAAAATTGATATGTACATAAATTTTTACATGCTGTATTAAGATAAAGATTTAAATTAGTGCAAAACCTATAAACATATTTGGTATAAACTCGGTATAAATCTAATATAAAGAGGGGAAGTGACATATAAAAAATTAAGATACTTTCAATCACTCTTAGACTATTTATATATTTATATCATTTATATATTTAATTTTTTATTCCATTTTTTTAATAGAATTCAAATTTATATTCATTTAGAATTCCTTAGAATTTATTATTCTAAATTAGAATTTAGAAAGATTTTCTAATAATATAATTATTTTATTAAATTACACTTAATTTTACATTTACTTTCATTTACAAATTACATAAAATTATAAGAAAGTTTGACCCCTCCCTCTATTTATTTATTTATTTTGTATTTTGAATTTTGCGGACTTTTATTGAATTTAAATGCATCTTGCAACTCTAAAGAATTGGGGGAAGCGTCTTTTTTATTTTTTTTATCTGGGTTCAAGAGAAGAGAGAATTAAAAATACCTACCAGAAAGACTAATCCAATCCATAATCCAATCCATAATGATCTACCAAGAAATACAACATTTTTGTTCCATTCAATCCTTGTTTGTCCATTAGTTCCCATTTCTTCTCTTCCTCACGTGGGGTAGAGCAGCTTGGTAGCTCTCAAAGCTCATAACTTTGAGGTCACGAGTTAAATCTCATCTAAGCAACATTTTTTTGACAAAAAAAATAAGGATTGTCCCTGTTAACTGGTAAAAAATTAATTACCATTTTTTTTTAGGGGGGTGGGGGAAGAAAAGAAGTTGAGGGTCAAAAAATTAAGCTATTAAGGTCATCTATAATGAATCCTTTATCCTATTAAATAAATCGACTTGGAAAAATAGCGAAAGTCAAACTTGCGTCTTCTCCTTAGCAAAGAGAAATTTTACCATTTGATTATATCCGTATTTTTTTTCTTGATATTAACACGTAGTACGTAGATCCTATTTGTAAATAGCTATGCTAGATATTCTTTTCAGGATCATTCTTATTATATTCATATTACCTATTTAATATTTTCCTATTATATTTAATTATATTATATTTAATTACTAAACTATCTCACGATGTTCTGAACCCAGCTCATGCACCATTTTATTGGGTGAGTAGCCTAACCCTTGGAACTATTACAGCTCAGGTGGAGAAGAGCTAACATCAAAGTGCCAAACCTTCCCGCCAATATGAACTATTGGGGAAGATCAACCTATTATCCCTAGAGTAACTTTTATCTATTAAGCGATGGCCCATCCACTCGACATTGTCAGATCACTAAGGCCGACTTTCATCGTTGCTCGATGGGTGGGTCTTGCAGTCAAGCTCCTTTTTGCCTTTGCACTCAAGGGCCAATCTCCACCTATCCTGAGTAAGGGGAAAAAAAGAAGTTTAGTAAGAAAAAGGGGGAGTATTTTCATCTATTTTTTATTTCTATTGTCTTAGCGATATGGTCGAGTGGTAAAGCGAGGGACTGCAAATCCATTTTTCCTGGTTCAAATTTGGGTGTCGCTTGATCAACAAAAGATGCAAAATACCTTATTTCATTTTGCTAATATATTTTCCCTATTAGAAACAGCGAAGGAAAAAAACTCGTGATATTTCCAAGAGCACTATTGCTTATTTTGTTTGCGCTTAATTAATTGGTGTTAAATTTTTTGGATTGTTTCATTAATGGTATTAGAAAAAATCTGTTTTTTACTCTACATCAGTGATACTAATATTATTATTAGTGACTTATATTATTATTAATAACTATTATTAGTGAAAATAATGGGAAAAAATGAACAATACTAGCAAAATTTCTTCATATTCATAGAGATAGGGAACATAATTCATATGGATATAGTAAGTCTCCTTGGGCTACTTTAATGGTAGTCTTTACATTTTCCCTTTCACTTGTAGTATGGGGAAGAAGTGAACTCTAGGGATACTACAAATTGAGTTGAGAAATGAAACTCTATCAATTCTTTTATAGATCATTCTGCAAAGACATTTTAATTCAACTATTTTATATTGAACTATTTATATTGAAATTAAATTTAATTTCAAAATTCTATTCGATTCAAGTGGAGTAATTTATTCTATGAATAATACTCTTTTAATCATAATCAAATAAATATTTTTCTCACGGCAAACCATGAGACTTGACTAAAAAGAAGATCATAATCAAATAAATATTTTTCTCGCGGCAAACCATGAGACTTGACTAAAAAGAATCAGTGGAGAAATTTTGTATTATATACGGTAATCTTTTTTATATCCAAATTGTATCTAAACTTCTCATATTTTTGAAAAAAAAAGTAAAGAACATATTTCTAATATCATTCCTCCTATATTAGATTAGCTGATATTTCAAGAGGCTTTTAGATAGATAAAAAAGGGATTAAAAAAGGTTTAATTTCTTAATAACTTTCCAATAATGTGTTAGGGATTCATTTAGATTAGATAATGAAGATATGGTTTTAGATTATGCTTTAGAAAAGGCCGAATGCAATTTTATATGTATATCATCTGGACAAAGAGTCAAAATAGAAGTACGTGCTTATGATTCAACTAAAAAACATCAATTTATAGACTCCCTAATAAAAATTCAAATGATTAGGTAATTTTTTCAACTTCAACATTCCTTTTATTTTTTATATTTTATAGGAATACAATTTATGATTCAAAATTTAAAAAAACTTTTCTTTTTTCACAAAAAGTATGTATATTCAAAATTAAGGAATGAAAAATATAAAGATAAGGGCTTTCACTCGTAAAATTTGTTTCGGCTACCACAATAGTATACTCGATTGCTCCTCTTTCCTATAAAGCATTTACTTTTAGAGCCATAAAAGATGTTTTTTGACCAATAGCTACATAAACACATATTACATTTTACCCTTGTTGATTGAAAATCATATCTGTGGCTACTGTTGTTTTACCGATTTGCCTATCCTTAATAATTAATTCTTGCTGACCATGTCCTATAGGGATCATTAAGTCAATAACAATAAGTCTTGTTTGAATAGGCTCATATATGGAACGCCTTAAGCATTCAACATGTATTCCTGAATAATCTCATTTTTCAATTATTTAACCATTTCATTTTATCAAGTTTAATGTTAGTTAGATTAGTCAACATTTATATGTTTCGATGCTACAACAAGATATTATTTGTAACAAGTAGTTTTGTTGGTTGGTTAATTAATCTTTATTATAATTAGATTAATATTATTATTAATTAATAAATAATAAAAATAATAAATAATAAATAATAACAATATATATGCAAAAATAAAAAAAATATTCTGGAAAAATATTGCATCCAATAGGATTTGAACCTATACTAAAGGTTTAGAAGACCTCTGTCGTATCTATTAGACAATGGATGCTTTTCTATTCCATTTTTTTTCTTTCACATCTCCTGGTCATAGAAACAAACTATAAAATATGTGAAATAGTTTCGGGAATTGTATTGCATATTTAATTAAAAATGAAATTCATTAAAAACTACAAAATTAAGTGATAAGTCAATTATTATTTCATTTTTTAATATTTAATAGCAATTATTAATTAAATATTTTTATAGAGAAATAAGATATAGAGTATAGAATAAGTGGGTAGCGGGAATCGAAGCCGCATCATTAGCTTGGAAGGCTAGGGCTTATAGTC